GTGCGGCCGCAGTCGCCTTTGTGTGATCCGCATAGGGTGCTGAACTGCAGGTCTTCAGGGAGGCATGTGCGGCCGCGGTCCTTTTTGCGCGGTCCGCACAGGGGGTCTCAGAGGGGTATAAATAAACGAGATTTTCAGTTATTTTTTACTTTTCAAAACCCCAAAATATAAGAGGCGAATTTTCAAACAACCTTTCTTCTCCAAAACGTTGGTAAGTGATTTCTAACTTATTTTCTTCACTCCTTAACATCTTTTTACATGATTTCAACTTCAAATCAAAGATTTTCATGGGGAAATTTTTCTAAAACTAGGGATTCGGACCTCAATTTGAGTTCCGATTTCAAAACAAATTATATATTTGGATTCGTGGGGGAATGGGTAATCGGGTTTTGGTCCGAACCTCGGGTTTCGACCACGCGGTCCCGGGGGTGATTTTTGACTTTTTGGATAAAACTTTGGAAAACTCATTTTCATGCATTGGGGTTGTTTCATTTAGCTCTTATTGATGTAATTAAGTAACTTGTGACTAGATTCGAGCGGATTGGTGGTGGAATCGAGGGATAAAGCTATAATTGAGACTTGAGTGGTGTTCAAGGCATCGAGGTAAGTGTTCAGTCTAACCTTAGCTTTAAGGATTAGGAGTTGAGTCATATTTGCTACTTGTTTCTTGTTGAGTACGACGTATAGGCATGGTGACGAGTATCTATATATTGGTGTCGAGCATGACCGTGAGTCTTAAATTGAAAGTTGTTGTCTTCTTAAATGACATTTCGGATGCTTTAATTAATGATCTTCTACATTGAGCAGAGATTTGTCTTATCCTCGTCGATCTTATTTATAATTGAGCATTACCATGAATTGAGCTGAGTACAAGCTAAGTTAAGATTGGTTATAGCTGATTCTCCCTTGCCGGGATGACTATTTCGATATTATTGTTCCCTTGCTGGGAAATTATTATATTGCCTTTGTTGCCTTGCCGGGAAGTCATTCTATTGCTTATGTTCCCTTGCTGGGATTTCTTGTAATTTGTGATGAACTGTAAAAGGGAGCGGGTGGTACGCCTACCACAAGATATTATGAAATGGGAGCGGGTGGTACGCCTACCACAAGACATTATGAAATGGGAGCGGGTGGTATGCCTACCACAAGATATGAGAAATGGGATCGGGTTGCACGCCTGCAACAGGATGGAAACTGAAAGTGAAGGTTGTCTTTATTTTCTTTATCTGTGTTAGAAGTTATATTGTTAGCTTCCTTACCTATTCCTTGTTATTTTGTTTTATCAGCTACCCCCGAAGCATGTTCCCCTTCCCCAGCTTTAATTGCTTATTACCTGTTTATTTTTCCGCCATATATTATATAACTGCACGTGTTTATCTGGAGTCTGGTCCTAGCCTCGTCAGTACTTCGCCGGGGTTAGGCCAGGCACTTACCAGCACATGGGGTCGGTTGTGCTGATATAAGAGAGTGTTTGGTTAAGCTTATAAGAAGGTTAAACTAGCTTATAAGCACTTTTTGGCTTGTCTACACGTTTGATAAAGTTAAAAGTGCTTATAAGCCACATGCTTATAAATCAAAAATAAGCCATAAGCTGGTCACCCCTAGCTTATGAATTTTTAGCTTATAAGCACTTTAAGTTTGATCAAAATTTTTACTATTTTATCCTTAAAATATTCTTTTTTAGAAAGAAAAAAAACTCTTACATCGATACTCACTGTCTCAAGTATTGTTTCAACCTAAATTCCCGCCTCTTCAAGTCTTGAATTCTAATTGACTATTTAAGATAAACAAATTCTCTATTCCTTTGCATATTTGTATCTATGTGACTGTGTATTAATCTTTGAACCGTATGTAATAAATGAGGACATATCAAAAATTTTGGTGTATTGCTTTCTACGTGTCGCGGTGATGAAGACAATATTTGTTTCTCTTCAAATATTTTGTCCTATTTAGGTTTATTTTTTGCTGAGAAACTTTTGTCAATTTATTAATTATTATAACTTATAATTATATGCTTGTCATAAAATAAATTATATTTATCATAAAATTATCTTATCTAAGCACAGTTGTATTTAAAATAAAATGATAAATAGAATATTTTGTATTTGAATAGATCTGGAATCTGAAATTTGAATAAATTATGCCCTTATAAGTGTAAACAGTTATAAGATTATTTAAGTCATTTTAACAGAAAAAGAGCTTATCAACACTTTTTTTTTGTTTATCAAATACTGCAGCAGCTATTATCAATTTAAGCACTTGTATCCAATATGTAACATCTTATTTATTAAATCAAATTCAACACTTAAAAATTACCAAGGAGGTGCATAGTGGGTAACATGACTGATGTTTTCAGAAGTAGAAACACAATTGTTGATGGCTGGACAAAGAGCTAGACCAAGTGGATTCTTCTGAACACCCAAGTAATTTGGCTTTTTACCACTGCATCACCAAAACAATATTCAATCTTTTCTACTCAATTCAATCTAGTTTAAAGTAGTATAATTCTAAGGCAGCCCAAATTTTTCGTTGATGGTTGTATGGGAAATAATGGGAGAAAATAAAAAATAGCCAGATTTACCACTGGTCGTTGAAAAATAGCCAAGTTTCAAAAGTCATCGAAATTTAGCCACTTTAAATCTGAGCGAAAACACTGTTCAAAATCCGGAAAAATACGCCCGCAAATTTTACGGGAGTTCCAGCATAAGTATGCTTGAACTCCCGTAAATTTTACGGGAGTTCCAGGATAACTATGCTGGAACTCCCGCAAATTTTACGGGAGTTCCAGCAAGTATAATTGTCCAGTATAATATACTGGAGTTTGGAGCACTGGTGCTCCAGTCTCCCGCAATTTTTACAGNNNNGGGTAAGTTTAGTTCCGAGTACGTATATACTGGAAGTTTCGTAGGACACCTAGGTGCTCCTAGTCCTCCGACAGTTTTACTAGGAGTTAGCAAAGTATACCGGTCCAGCATAATATGCTGGAGTTCGTACACAAATGCACCAGAACTCCCGTATATTATACTGGACCGGTCCCTGTTGCAGCAAAATAGTGGCTATTTTTCATTGACTTGATAAAGGCTGGCTATTTTTCATTGACCAGTGTGAAAACTGGCTATACCATGATATTTTATCGAAATAATAGATATAAATTGAGGTATTGCTCTATCATACTTTAGTAATCTGAGTTGGTCTTCAAAATTCAAATATAACCCTAATCCCAAATAGACGCTGTTAGCCAAAACTAAGCCGGCGTTTGAACGTAAATCTGGTTGAAACTTTAAAAAAAAATGAGTTTTTGAATGAGATGAAAAATAATTTTTTTAAGTTGAAATTATATTTGGACATGCATTTTACTTGAAAAGAATTTGAAATTCTATGAGTAGAAAACTTAAAAAACTACTCTATAGTTATTTTTAGATTTGAAGATTTTGTTTTCAAAATCAAACCAAAAAATGATCAAAATCTATAAACAAACAGATGTTTGAAAATAATTTTTTTTAGAAAAAATACTCCCAAAATTTTATGGCCAAACATAAGCTAAAATTTGGCTCGTACTAAGTTCTTCTTTCACCTCCTTATCATAGTAAAATATGGAGTAGTTAATTTTGCGTAAAGGACCAAAACTACCATTTCTTCAAATGAGTGCATTTCAACTTGATATGATTGATCAATAAATAATAACACTTTTTTATGGTTGAATCCGCGACCTCTTGATCGCATGATTATTTTCTACTAAGGTTGTGTTTCATATATACTTAATATATGCTTTATATTAGTTGTTTAGTCCCATTCATATGTTGAAAAGGGTATGCTTAACACACCTCAAAGTTGGAATTCTTGAAAGAAATTATGGTAATTGCTGCATATTCACAGCAACTCACCAAAAATGAGAAGTAAAAAGGACTTTAGTTATGATTTTTTATTTTTTGGTTTCTCACCCGGTGTCCGGTATCCGCATTGGAGTCCGACTATATCCGGATTCGTGCCGCGTAGGGCCCCTTTCGGGGGGAAGCGCTCCCTACCAAGGATTTTTCCATACCCAGGGCTCAAACTCGAGACCTCTGGTTGCACCACATCCTTTGGTGGTGACTTTAGTTATGATTTGTTATTAATAATTTTACTATCTTTTCAACCAAAAAAAAAAAAAAAAAGAGGTGAAAAATTATTGACGCGAAACATGCACTATTAGTGAGCAAAATCATTCTTTTTTATGTTTTTGCTTTTATGAAATCATATGCTTATCTATTTTTTAAATTAGTGAAGTATTTTTTGAAACAAAAATTTGAACGAGATTACGAGCACCTTTGATGCAAGACTTGCACTAACCACCACGTCCATGTGAAAAGATTTTTTTAAAAAAAAGTTCTTATCCTTTGGCTCCACCACTATTTGTTGTTGTTACGAGTTTATAGTTTATATGTTGATAGAGTAAAAAATATTTACATACTTAATTTATTGATAATTTCACTATTACATTTATTTGTATTTATAGAACTCTGTAACTAAAAGTTATCTATTGATACTTTACATGAATTACATTAAAAATAAAGAATATTTCGCTAACAATAATCAAAAACTCAAAAATCTATATACAAATGGAGAATAAGAAAAAAATAAAACTTAAAGAAATCAGTCACACCCCACATAGACATATATACACACTTAATGCACATAATATTGAAATAATAAACATAAAAAATAATGATAAATATTCTAACAAATTCATGACAAGATTATTCTGCTTATACTGTTAACTAATTTAAATTAAATTTGATGTAAGATATAATATATTCAAATTATAGTTAAAGTATTACATAGAAGAGGAATTGAAAATTTTAAGGAATAAATAGATATATTGCATAATTTACGAGGGAAAGAATGATTATTGTTCAAAATCAACGGGGAGTTTAATTCTTTATGAAAACTTGAGGGGGTGTAAATGATTTTCTGCGATTTGCTAAAAGGGCTCATAGTTTGCAGTTCATAGTTTAAGGATTAAAGTGCCAGTTCTCTTTTAAAAAAACTCCATTTCAGAGGCTTAAGGTTCCTCTGAGGAGAAAACCCTAACAGTGCCAGCTCGCCCTTCACTCCAAAATTTTCGATTTTAGGTAAGTCTTTAACTAATTTTTTTGATATTCTTTATTCTTTTGAGTTATGAGGACTACATATATATAGACACACAGATGCATTGAATTTTGCTGATTTCTACCGTTTTTAGTTTTGAGGAATATGTCTGCATTTTGAATTTTCCGGATTCCCCGATTTCTAAAAATATTTCGGACTAATGCTTGCTCAATATTTATTTATTTATTATTTATTTTTTTGTTTAAGGGAAAACAATGAGTTTTCCAGATAAAAAAAATGCATATTTAGGTGTATTGAGAAAATAATGTGTTTCACAAAACCGAATGTAAGTTTTTTTTTCTATATAAAAAAACTGAATATACTGAACCCTGAAAAATATTAAGTCTATGAGGCAGGCTATATTCTCAATTTTCCCCTTTTTTAGATGTTGGTTTCCTTTTGGTATGTGCTTAGGTTCAGTAATGGGAATTGGTGTTTTCTGCAGCTATAGGTTCAATTATTATGTCCAATTTTCTTTTGGAAAGTTGAATATAATATGATTGTTCAGACTCTGCTGTGTTTATAGTTGCCAGGAAAGATAAGGGCTCTGCAAATTTTGGGAATTAGCTACTAATCTTAATAAGCTGATCAGAAATCAAGTAGTAGTTAACTTAATATCAAATCCAGCCAAAGCTGTGAGCTGCTAAGCTGATTTTAAGAGTGAAAATTACCAAATACTGGTCAATTTTTCTACTTACCGTGTAGCTATAGATGTCTGAAAAGCTTATTAGCGGCGAGAGACAATGTGATTCTCGTATGTGCTCTATTGATTTTTCATTTTCAATAACAAATCTGTATAATCCCTGGATTCATGAAGTATTTATGGAAGGTATTATTGCTTTAAAGAATGCGATTCGTTGATATTAAGAGGAAATGTATGCCTGTTGTCTGTGTTTTATCTGAAGATAATTCGGAGATTACTTACCTTTGTTTTCTTGTTTATTTTTTGCAGATTCTCATTGGCGTTGTATGATGCCACCTGAGAGAACAAAGCATGGTTGTCAAACTTTACCTTCTGATCGGCTTAGCAACCTTCCTGAAAATGTTACCAATGCCATTCTGATGCGTTTGCCTTTGCGAGAAGCTGTGAGGACAAGCATCTTATTGAAGAAATGGAGGTATAAATGGTGCAAACTTCCACAGTTGACGCTTGATGATACACTTTGTCGGTACACACGTGACTTACTATCCCCTTCTGAGTTTACAAAAATTATGTACCACATTTTGACCCTTCATTCAGGACCACTTACTAAGTTTACCCTCTCCATTTTCTAGACTGAAAAAGTATCCTAAGATTGCCAGTTTGATATATTTCCTCTCTAGGAATGATATGCAGCATCTTGTTCTTGAATTTTCGAAGTGGAACCGATACAGCCTTCATTTTTCATGTGTTTGCAGTTGATGCATTTAACTCTCCGAAATTGTGTAATATGTCCTCCACCAGCCTTCAAAGGATTTGATATGTTACATAGTCTGGAACTGTGTGATGTCACAATTTCTTCCACATTACTAGAAAGTTTAATCTCTTATAGCCCGTTGCTGGAGAAGTTTGTGGTGAAAATCTCAGATAATCTAGACCATATTCAAATTAAAGCCCCCAATTTGAGATCCTTCGACTTCACAGGCTGTATAAAATATATTTCTTTAAGTAATGTTCCTATTCTTTCTAAACTCTCTCTTTTCAATGCGGGATCTTTTAAGGAATCAGAAAAATGTGATTTTGACAAATTTTTTCAGTCAGTTCCTGCTCTTGAGCATCTCTACTTGGAATATGCAAGTAACAAGGTAAATGTTGCTTCTGAATTTCATTATACTGCATTTTCATAAAAGTACCATCTTTTGGTCTTTGAGTCATCCTGAATTTTCGCTTTCTTTGTAGTTCTTGGTTACAGGTGCAGCTGAAGTACCAAAAAGACTTTCCTCTCCTCTTAATTATCTTAAACGTTTTCACATAATGCTGGGTGGTGGATTAGTTGATGTTTCCTGTGCTCTTTGTTTGATAAGAAGCTCACAATATTTACAAGACATTGAAATGGAGGTTATTATTGGTGTTTATGCTTTTCTTTTGTATGTTCTAGTTGTATGTAGTGACGGCTTTCTGATTTTCGTACTCATTAGATCTTCAATCTTCTTGATCTTTCTTAGGCTTATAATCTGTTGGATGAACTTGTGGCCACTAATGAAGTTTTTGCAAGGTTCTCAGATGTGACATTGTATCACCTTAGGACGGTTAAGCTTGAAGGAGTTCACAAGACAGCTGAATTGCAGCTTATCAATTCAAGGTAAATGTTGCTTCTGAATTTCATTATACTGCATTTTCATAAAAGTACCATCTTTTGGTCTTTGAGTCATCCTGAATTTTCGCTTTCTTTGTAGTTCTTGGTTACAGGTGCAGCTGAAGTACCAAAAAGACTTTCCTCTCCTCTTAATTATCTTAAACGTTTTCACATAATGCTGGGTGGTGGATTAGTTGATGTTACCCCGTTTGGTAGTTGGTTCCCCTTGGTCCGTCCCTACGTTGTTTGATAAGAAGCTCACAATATTTACAAGACATTGAAATGGAGGTTATTATTGGTGTTTATGCTTTTCTTTTTCTTTCGTATGTTCTAGTTGTATGTAGTGACGGCTTTCTGATTTTCGTACTCATTAGATCTTCAATCTTCTTGATCTTTCTTAGGCTTATAATCTGTTGGATGAACTTGTGGCCACTAATGAAGTTGATGAAGTTTTTGCAAGGTTCTCAGATGTGACATTGAATCACCTTAGGACGGTTAAGCTTGAAGGAGTTCACAAGACAGAGCTTGAATTGCAGCTTATCAAGCTTCTACTGACCAAATCCCCGATGCTGGTGAGGATGCTAATTGATCCGTCATCAAATGATGACTATGATGAAAATAGAGACACGATACTAGCAGAGTTAACAAAATTTCAGCGAGCATCACATAAAGCTGAAGTAGTCTGTACTTGATGGTTATGAAAGTTATAGACTGGATGCAGTAATATATGGTTGTTTTTTGCCGGATATAGGGAAGACTGAATTTCGGATTGCTTGTTTGTCATCGTTACAGTGCTAAGGGTACATTCATTCCTGTTCTTGAATGATCTTGGAAATGAGACTTGGATATGAATCTACACTACGGTTATTTATTTTCAAAGTTAAGTGTTTCACTACTTTGATAGGAAATAAAACCTTTGGCAGTTTTTCTTAATAATTCTATGCACTTCTCATGCTCCATTGTTGAAGAACTAGAAGACTGGAGGTTTTACATATCTAACAAAGATTTAATATCTTGTCGTGGCTTCTTTTTTATTAATCAGCGATGTTATTTATTTGATACATCTGATATGGAGAAGCCTAGAAGTGGTAAAGTTTTTACACAAGTCACTGAGGTCCGAAGTTATAGAAGAAACTGAGAGCTCTATAAAAAAAAAGGGATATCTACATAAATAGTCTGTCATATTCATTATTTATTTTTTCTAGCCATATATACAGATTCTACATTGATTATACATAACTATACACATATAGTATATAAATTATGCATATATTATATGTTCATCGGCTACTTTTAGTTTAAGTGACCGGATAGGCGGCTATTGGGTTAAACGTTATGTTACTCTTAGTGTAATAGGAAGTAGAAGCAAAATTTTCTATCTTTTCAATTAGGAAGAAAATAGGACATATTTGTTATGACAAGAGTGAGTTGCTCTAGTGGTGAACACCCTCCACTACCAACCAAGAGATTGTGAGTTTGAGTCACCCCAAAAGTAAGGCGGGGATTTTTTGGAGGGAGGGATGCCGAGCGTCTATCGGAAACAACCTCTCTATCCCAGGGTAAGGCCTGCGTACACAGTACCCTCTCCAGACCCTACTAGTGGAATTATTTTAGGTTGTTGTTGTTGTTATAGTACAGGACATATTTGTTAAACTTATTAAAACATGAATATACAGTGTTCCATAAGGCTATTTGAGAAAATCAGCCGAAAACACTTTAGGCACAAAATTTCACGGATGGCCCTTTGATGCTCTGTTGCTTAGCTTTTGTTCCCATTTTTAAATTTATGGTAGAATAGCCCTATTTTTTCTAAGTTTTGTGAGCGTGTTAAAACTTCATTATATTATACTGGAATTCCAATATATTATGCTGGAGTATTTTCCGGATTTTGAGCAGTGTTTTTTGTTCAGATTTATCTTTATATGAAAAGTGGTTAAATTTCGATTACTTTTGAAACTGTGGCTATTTTTGAATGACCACTTGTAAATCTGACTATTTTTTAATTTCATCCGCTAAAAGTCTAAAGCTTATGATAAGATTGTTCAAAACTTTTGAACGCTCGTCAAAACTTAAAAATAGGGTCATTTTGCGCAGATTTAAAAAACAAAGGACAGAATTTAAAAACGCACTAAAAGAGCCTAATCGTGCAAATAATGCCTTGGCGGTGTTACCTTTTTACTATAAATTTAAGCTCTTTATAAGAACAAATAGAATCCTTATCAATTTTTATTTTTACAATATATTATAGGTTTCTTGCCTTTTTCTACCTTATGAATAATGTGAGTAAAAGGATGGGAAAATAATACTTTCTTTTCATACAAGCATTCTGACATGTAGTTTGACATGTAAAAGAGATATGTTGGACATTTAGTTTGACAATCAAATAAAATCTTACTAATAATTTATCTCAAACCATCCAATATAACATGCACAAACCGAAATAAGCTTCTAGCCATATCAGTTAAGTCAAAAATTGAACGGCTAATGATTGCAAACCGATTAACTGATAACTTATAAATCAACTTCTTATTGGTTCGATTATGGATGGCAAGCGGTTTGGTGTGGTGCGGTTGCGGGAGAAACCCGTATAAACCCGCGAAGATCTCAACCCACCCCGTCCCGCGTATTTTCACCCCCCATCCACCCGCCCCACCATACACCTGCATCCACCCGCCCCACCATACACCTGCATCCACCTGCCCCGCCCCGCACCAATATTTTTTTTTCGATTTTGTTTACTTATTTCCTTTTTATATTTTGGTTGGAATTTTCAACTTAATCAATCAAAAAATTAAAACTTATTTTTGTTTCATAAATGCTGAATCTCAATTGAAAAAGAAAAAACATTATTGATTCTAGCATTGTGATTTGGAATGAAAAGAATCCAAATGAAGCAATATGATGACATAGCGTGTAATCATTGTAAAATAGTGTTACTTTAATATTATTTCTTAGTTTTGGTGAAAATATTATTCTCAGATTATTAAAATATCGTTAAGTAGTATTAACGTATCATCTTTAATGAACATTTCATCTTCATCAAAGGCCAAGATCTCCATGAATTTTAGTTTTTGCGTCTCTTTGCTTCTGAGACAGTTTCAAGTTTAAGCCGATCCTCGAGGTCCAGTAAAAGATCACTCTTCATCTCGATCTTATTAAAGAAGGAAGTAAACAGATCAAGGTTTCTACGTACTTCCGTTATGGAGGGTGCGGGCAGGGGGGACAACGGGGAGGCCGGCTCCACCGGTTGGTTTCCGAAGATAATCAAAACATGCTACTTGAAAGCACATATTAAAGAAGAGGGACTCGATTAAAGGACTCATACAAGATTTATTCCAGACCTTATTCCTTCGCATGCTTCTAAGGCTCAAACTCGTCACTAAGTACGAGAGCTCTAATGTCATGTCAAACCTGAAAGCGGATGCGAGAAAGATGTCAAAAATCTGCTTAGGGTCAGATTGGACTTTATCTTTTTGCCCTGCTTGCCACCACTTTAAAATCCTGATTCACAACTCTCTAAATCATTCCGAAATAAGTTAGGGGTAGGTGTCAGTTCTTGTACTACTTGATTGACTGGTAAGAAAGAGCTTCCGTAAGAACTGGAATACTCTTGTATGTACGGTAACCCTCTCTTCCGCTACTGGTGGACTGTTGCACAGAAAGGGCGACAAAAGCAACCTTTCTTAGCGCGCTTTTCAAGCGCTTAGCTTCTGCTAGTGGCGGGACGGCAAGGCCATGTTGTTTAGTTGGAAGCCTAAGCCAAGAAGGTATGAACGAAGTGACGGGCCTCTTTAGAAGATAGGGGACGGTTTTCTTGTGGTAGTAATTGCGAACATCTCTCCTCTTTTCTTAGCGTGCACAGTTTGCTTACATGCCGCCTTAGGCACATCTCTCGTCCCGGCTAGAGAGCATTGATTTCTCCTTTCGTTCTTCTGTGCGAAGGCGAAGAAACAAGAAAAAAGACATTCATTTCAGAACTATGAGGTGAGAAGAATACAGAAAAGAAAGAGTTTTTGAAGAAACCTACAGGAAAGTCAAATCATTTCTTTTTTATCGACTATATATGCAAAAGGAGAAATTCTAGCTAAAGACATGAGATCCCTGCGCCTGACTAATGGAACTGGTCTTGTCGAACAGGTCCGGATTCGAGGTTCGAACACAAAATCCCACTAGCCGAGCTGAACTGGTTAGTGATGGAAGCAATTCCCACGAATTGAGAACAAAAGGATGTACTTGCCCCCTTCCCCAGTCATTACCGCTCATCCATCGCTTTTTATATTGAAATCCTGTCTTTGTCTTTCCAGGCTGTCTTTTGCGTGGTATTCCTTACGCCCTGAGAAAGAACCTCCACTTGGATTCATTTCAAGTCTCGAGTTCTTGTTTAGAATTCTCGTATATGAAGTTCGAACGAGAGCTTTGATGCAATTCAAATTGACAAGCAGTAGTTACAGCATAATAAATGTCCGGAGGACACAATAAAATCTTGAATTCCCGGATGCCAATAGACCAATCAATGGTGCTCTAAAGTTATCTCAACTCTAAGAAATACTTGTATAAAATAAATTGAAAAAAAAAGAAAAACAAAAAAGAAATGGTACTGGGAGCATTTGTCCTATATGTACAAATCCAAATCGGGCGGATCTTTACCCGGAGTAGATCATAAACCTAAAAAGATGAAACAGACCCATTCAGAAACAAGAAAATACCATCGCAGTTTGAATTAAATCTCGATGAAAGAATACAACAATGAGAAGTTAATTCGATAAGTTTAATGACCCTTTCAAATTTTATAATGGAAAATCAAAAATATAAAAAAGGAGATATCATAAAATTATTATTAATATAATAAACAAATTATTTATATTTTCTTTTTCCAAAGTGGATTAGCAATTTGTTGAGAAGCAAGTTTTATAGTGTGGGGTCCAGCCCATAAATTAAGGAAGACAACTTTCTTCCTTTGTTTTCTTTTTCTAAATTGGCAGCCACTTTTCTTTTGCATAGTCAACATTGTAGGCCGTGTCAAATGTGGTAAGCGTACAGAAAGAAAATGTCAAGTGTAGTAGGCGAGGTTCTGCCTATAAAAGGAGAGTTTCGACTCTCATTTCAATACACCAATTTCAGAGGAAAAATATATCTGAGAGTTAGAAAGAAAGAGTGAGGTTTCACATACAGGGTATAAGAAAATAGCCTGTGAGAAAAATAGAGAGTGAGTGATATTGTAGTGAGGTGGGAATATCAAAAGAGGGTTATTTCTTTTGAGTGTTGTAGCAGTCTTTTGAGTATTTTACTCGGACCTACAAAGTGTAAAATTCCTTGCTATAGTGATATCAGTTGCTCTTCTCGGAGTCGTGATTTTTTTCCTTATTCAAAAGGGGTTTTCCACATAAAAATCTTGGTGTCGTTGTTACTCTTTTATTCTTGTTAATTACCGTATCTCGGTGCTACGTTATTATTCTACTTTTATTACCGTGAATATTATTTTTTTAGGGGGTTTATTCCCAACAACTGGTATCAGAGCACAGGTTCTGCTCATTCAATATTATTCACTATCGGTGTACTATACTCGGTGGAAAATAAAATGTCCGGAGTAAAGTACGACGTAGCAAAATTCAACGGAGATAACAGTTTCTCAACATGGCAAAGAAGGATGATGGATCTGCTCATCCAACAAGGATTACACAAGGTACTAGATGTTGATGCTAAAAAGCCTGATACCATGAAAGCTGAGGATTGGGCTAATTTGGAGGAAAGGGTTGCTAGTACAATTAGGTTGCACTTATCAGATGATGTGGTAAATAACATCATTGATGAATACACCACACGTGGAATTTAGACAAGGTTGGAAAGACTATACATGTCCAAAACGGTGACAAATAAATTGTACCTGAAGAAGCAGTTATACACCCTACACATGGGTGAAGGTACGAATTTTT